GAAGTGCTCCTGACTTACGCAGGCTGCCCTCGTAGCTCAGACAGTAAAGAATCTGCCTGCAATGCGGGAGACTGGGGTTCGATCCCTGAGTTGGGAAGATCCCCTGGAGGAGGGCATGGCAACCCAACTCAGTATTTTTGCCTGAGAATCCCCATGGACAGAGGAGACTGGTGGGTTACAGTCCATGGGGTCGCAGAGTCAGACACGACTGAGTGACTTTCACTTCACTGACTTAGGTGCCAAAGGTGGTCACCTGGGCATGGACAGCCAGGTGCACACGTGTGTGCTGAGTCATGCCTGACTCTCTGTGACCCATTGGACTGTGGCCTGCCAGGCTCCTCTGTCCACAGAATTTTCCAGGCAAGAATACTGGAGTGGGCTGCCATTTCTTCCTTCAGGGAATCTTTCCAACCCATGGATCAAACCCATACCATTGAGTCACCTGGGAAGCTCTGTGAATCTGCAAAGCCAGGTCTCTGACATTGTGTTTTGGCAAGGGCTGAATTATTCCAAAGCTCAGCTACTTCCTTTCACACTATCATGAACACTTTTTTTCTTCTCAGCTTGATTATCTCCAATTTGTTCTTCACGTGTATTCATTTTTCTAGGTACAGAAGCACGCTAAAATTATAGGTTAATGACAAGAGGTAAATTCTAACAAAAACTGGAAAAGCAAGAATAGATCTTTCCAACTTATGTCTTAGTTACATATCTTAAAAATGTATTTTTTAGAGAAAAGTTTTAAAGAATCATGAATCATGAAATTAAGAATAAACATAGCAAATTATAGGTGTCCAAGTATTAATCAAACATCTCTACATTTCACTTAGAATTTAAGATACAAACATGGTGAACATAGTTTTATTTAATGAATAAAGGGAGTCCTCCTGCATCTCCCTGAGCAGAAAACTCCATGGCTATTTAAGTGGGCTTCCCAGGTGGCTCAGTGGTAAAGAATCTGCCTGCCACTGCAAGAAACACTGGAGATCCAGGTTCGATCCCTGGGTGAGGAATATCCCTTGGAGAAGGAAACGGCAACCTACTCCAGTATTCTTGCCTAGGAAATCCCGCAGAGGAGCCTGGCAGGTTATAGTCCATGGGGTGGCAAAGAGTTGGACACGATTGAGTGAGCACACATATACACAACCATTGCAAAACCCTGGAGAACCACCCCCCACCGCAGAGAACACATCAGTGCTTTACCCGTCTCCCATGTCTCATGGCACCTTGCTTGCGCCTTCGCTGTGAAAAGTTCTGCCTTACATTAGTCACTAACCCTTTCTTTTTATACATCATCAGCTAGCCCTGTGATGGGTAAGGAGTAGGCATTCAAAAATAAAAAGTGTTAAACTGAAATGCATAATTATTGATATTTTCAGGCTCAAATTCCATTCCAGGGGTAGGGGTGTGTGGTTCCTGTATTAAGCTAAAATTTTATTTCTTCTCTGTGCATTAGAACTGTTTTGAGAAATAAACTCCTTTAAGGTATGCTAAAGCTTTATATTCTCATGTAGCCAAGCCAGAGGCCAAGGCAACAGGCTTCATTCTAATCTCCTTTAATAGTTCAAAAAATATTAGTTACCAACTAAGACTGGTTTTTGAAAATTCTTTAGGTTGATAAAAAGGTACTTTTAAATAAAAATGTGAAGTACTTCCCTGACGGTCCAGGGAATCTGCCTTCCAATGCAGGGGACTCGGGTTTGATACCTGGTTGGGGAACTAAGATCCCACATGCCTCTTTGTATAGCCAAAAAGTAAAAAAAGAAAAACACTGAGACATTTGAATAGTCAAGTGTTAATCTTTTTTTCTTACTTGCTATGCATCTATATGTTTTTATATTCTCTCTATATAGAATATAATGTGTATTATATAAGTATTATATTCTAGATATATTTATCCGTCTGTTTTGACTGTAAGTTAAACGAGTATCTTTTAATTTTGACCAGTGGTATACTATCATAAAGTAAAATGCACACTGTCTTCCATTATTCATATAGTTGTCTCTCATGGTATAAGGCAGATAGAGGCATGAATGATATCCAAATGAAACCCAAACTATAGTCTGGCAGCTTTATCCTCCCATGAGTGGCCAAACCAGTGGTTAAGTAATCCAGGTGTAAAGCTTCATTCTGACGATCAGTTCAGCGAAATCAGACAGGCCTTATTTTAAAATTCTGTTCTAGTCTTCAATCAATGGAGACACACCCTTGGTATCTCCAGAGAAATGAAGCAATTGGCCTAAAGTAGAAATTAACATCACTTGTGTCTTAATAAATACTAAAAACCAAAGAATGGATATTGATACACTATTGATGTAACTAGTTAATGCCTATTTTTTATTTTCCTTTACTAAAATAATGTGAACTATTGTGCACAAGATGACTAACAATGTTTTTGATCTACATTGTTTAGCCCATTTTCAAAGCTGAGACTTTGGCACATACATCCTGGTCTTTCTGCACATTTAAGACAGGAGGGTAAATGGCCAATTTGGGATGTTACTGCAAGTGAAACTCAAAACCCATAAACCCTTCAAAGTTCTGACATGCATGTTCAAAAGCATCAAACCCATCAACTGTCTATCTAGCATCTCTCTGCACTGGGCAAAGAGTGAACTCATTTATCTGACATCATCACTATCTTACATAACCTGGAGGCGAGCAGTCCCTGAGACAAAGGTGTATTGGAGAAAGAATTTATGCAAAAAGTTTGGTTGGGAGTACCTGCACTTGGTTTTGGCTTTCTTCTTTCACAGACAATGCCCAGAGCATGTTCGGACAAGGAGAGCTCTGGCAGGGCCTTAAAATCTCAACACACATAACTGACTGTTTTCAGTAACAGCAATCAATTTGTCATCCTTAAGTGAACTTCAATAGTTTCTAAGAAAATAAAAGGCAAGAAATCAGAATATATAGCAAAGATATCCCTAAATGCTAAGCAGTAAACTAATGCTTACTGTATCATTGTACTTGTAACCTATCACAATATCCAAATGATGACCACTGCCTTATCAACTGGTATTTATAAGACTTTTCATGAACTTGAGGTGATGATTCCTCCACCTTAATGTGATGACCTGGAAAAGTGGAAAAATCTTTTAACACACTGAAAAGTGAACATCAGCTGTTTTCAACCTGTTTAGATATTCATTTAATATTTCATTTTTTATATTCTGAAAATGAATTCTCTATTGGTTTATAGACAAACTCAACATTTAATAGATTAATTGGAAGCTTCTTGAGGAATCCAGTTTTCCTTATTTATCTTTAAGTAATTTTTATCAGGACTTTATATATATACTTATGCCAAGTCCTCTTCTAGCTTCAGCTGGTTTATAACCATGTTTCACATTCAAACTAGTGAATTATGGTTTACCATGGACTCCATTGAAAAAACAAAAAAAGATAAATTAGCAATTTCTAGGTCAGTAGCTCTCAAACTATACATAATCACTAGAGGAATGATTAAAAATGCAAATCCTTAAGCAACAGGATAAGAAACCGATTCAATAATCATGGAAAGAGATTCTTAATCTACATCTTCAATAAACACCCAATGGCATCTGATAAATTTATCTAGACTAGACTTTGAAAGCTGCTTGTCTGTTAAAAAGAAAAAAAAAAGAACTCTCAGAATTTCTATAACAAAATAGTTTTACCTGTGCATATGGCAGTATCTGATGAACAGTCAGAAACTAGTTAATCAAAATTTGTGTGCTTTACAAATCCCGAAAAACTATACAGTGAATAAGAAACTCTGCCCTATTTTTTCCCTAATATTCTAATTCTGAGACCATCAGGATAGACCTGAAGAGTATTAGAATTGCAACATTCAGTATTCCAAAGTTGAAACCGAAGAGTAAGTAATTTCCAAATTAATTCAGCTTTGTGTTTTTTGAAAAGCATAGAGGGCACAACGGGTGGCCTTTTATTGCAAGACATTATAGCAATGTCTTGGTTTAGGAGGCTATATGGTTCCTTGAAAGCCAATTTCAAAAAACAAAACAGAAGACAGCCTGTACTAAGACCTTAGAACAGGAAACGAGAGATTAAACAATAATGACAGGTAAATCATTTCCTAGACTTCCGGTGATTCTTGGCAGCAAAAGCTTTTGGGAAAAAAAAAAAAAATCAGCCATGAAGTGACTAATCAAGTGACTTACTACAAATAAGAAAACCCAGTATTTGTCAAGATGGGCTTGTAAGAGCTTGTTTTATGTTTGGTTCCAAAAGATAACTACAAACACTGACTTTTTTTTGCCATACTGCAGTGTAAAATTTAACAATTTCCTGGATAATCTGATTAAACAACTAAGACAGGGCCTCTCAAACAGCTAAGTTGGGGCTGCTTAAGCCTGAATTATTAGGCCAATGTAGGATGACATTCCTTGATACCCAGTACCTGAATCAAAACAAGTTATATTTTCCATGTCTTTTTCTTGTATCATGGCAATAAGCCTAACAGTCTAAAACCAGAGACTAGGAAAAACAGAGCCAGTTAAGTCAAGAAAACATTTTGCCTCAATTATAAGCATTGATCTGTGTATACTGCATGCCTGACACATAGAGACCAGTCAATAAATGTTGAACTGAACTCATTTCTCTGGTCTTAAATCAGCCTTGACATTCATTCTTAATAACTTTATATTAAAAAAAAGTCTAATGATTCATCTTTTAGGTAAGTCTCCTGAATGAATTACTTAAGATTTTTTTTAAACCTGTAAAACAAAGGCTAGTCTGCAAATCAGCAAAACTACGGGAGCCAAAATGAGCCCTCCTATGATTAATACTGTTAAGTGTCAAGTGCTCAATTATTTCTCTCCTGATTGCTAGAATTATCCCTGAAAATCGCCAAATCTTCACTTTACTTTAAAGCAAGCATGAGTATCTCACAGATAAGTGAAACTACATCTGTCACTGAAATGCTATTTCTAAAATGGTTTTTCACTTAAAAAAAAAAAAAACCCAAAGAAAATGTAAAATAAGACAATACAGCTCAGTTTAATTTCAAACGTTAATATATTTTCTATTTTATATTGAACATATGCATCTGTAACCCCTCATTGGCAGCAACTATCACATCCTCATAAAAGGGGCAAAATCTGTAAGATGCCTCTTAAAATAAATATTCTTCTTTATAAAATAATAAAACTTCAAATAAATATTCTTTACACTAAACAATATGTTGAAAAAAATTAGAAAATAAAGGTTGAATTTTACTGTAACTGTACAATATACATGAAGTCCAAAGGGAAATCAGAGTCTTAACAATAAAGGCTTTCTGTAAGGCAAAATACAATCTAAAAACATACTGATTGATTCACATTCTTCCGAATGTACAACATATTAGTATAATATTTTGTGAATGTGCCGTATAGTACGGCACAACTTGTTTTTCACAGTTGCAAATATTATTGTATATACAAAAATATAGCACAATATCTCTGGAGAAAACAACTGGGGTGGGGGAGGGGAGGGGGAAGTCATCTGCTAATTTACAAATTTTGCAAGTACTATTCACAAACAAAAACTTCGCCTAGAGTGTCTATTGCTTTAGCTTATGCAACATGTAGGTCACCAAGGTCTGTATCCCATACTCTGAGCTCCACTAGCTGAGTTCTAACAAGCATATCAATTAAAATGGCACATGGATGAAAAAAGCATTTCACTGCAAACAGCACAGGATATCCCAACCCTCTATCAACAGTGCCAAGATTCTAGCTGTTTAGTTGGTTGCATATGTGTGTATTAAAAAAAAAAAAAAAGGAAGGGCGGAGGGAAACAATCCTTATGACTGCAATCTTCCTGATTCATGATGCTATGTTGGTTTTTCAAAGTTCCTGGGGGGGACAGCGGGAACTTTGCAGCAAACTGTGTTTGAATTTTTACAACGGCATCCGGGCCTGTTCACCCGGTCATAACACCCCTGGCACAATTTAAGGCAACCCTTGGCTGGCAGGTAACACCATAAGCAAGGCAGAAAGAGGGACATGACGCCCATGGCTGACCAACGTGTACAACAGTGAGACTGGCTGCAAGAGCACGGGTTGTCTGCACAGTTGTCCTCGTCGTCGCTGGAACAGTGATAGAAGAGACCCTTCACACAGCACACGCAGGTGCCGTAGTCGATCACGTTCTGGGCCGAGCAGAGGCACTGCTTGTCGCAGATCCAGTCTGACGGCAGGGGCCTCGGGTAGGTGCACTCCTTGCACTTGCACTTGCCGCAGTCCTCACACTTGTAGGCGTGCAGCCCTACGTCTTCCTTGCTCGGCGGCTTCAGCTCACCGGGCTTGAGCTCCGACTTGGGCTGCACTCGGATGATCCTGTCTGCCAGAGGCCCCGAGGAGAAGGAGGACCCTAGGAGCCTCTGTTCGGAGGAGTTGCTGCTAGTACTGGTCCTCGCGCTGCTGCGAGAGCCCGAGCTGACTGTGCTGATGGACCGGGCCAGAGGGGCCCTGGCCGAAGGGTGCGCCGGCGGGTGCTGGGGCCGGGCGGGCTGCCGGGGCTCGGGCAGCCCGTGGAGTCTTTCGTGTTTGTGCTGGGCTGTGGGGCGAGGAGCAGGCTTGAGCCCAGCTCTGGGGAGCACGGTGGGCCCCTCCGTGTACTCATTCGTGTTCCGGATGGCCCTGATCTGATCCAGAGACAGCACGTGTACCTGCTGGGGGAGGGTGTCCCTGGGGTCGGGCTCCCCACGCTGCCGGCCACTGTCACGGGGTGCCTGCAGCAACGGCTGCGACCCGCTGCCACTCTGAGCTCTGGCCTCCATCAGGTCTGGGAAGTGTAGTCACTCCAGCAGGCTTAGAACACATCTGAATTCCTGCGGAAACCAAGAGGAAGGAGACGGGTTACACTCCAGAATACTACCCACTCTCCACCCACCCAGCTTAACTCTTCAGTCCCCTGGAGAAACAGACTTTGAAAATGGAGCGTATCAGGACAGCCGTCTGAGCCACGCCTGCACCCAAAAGTAAAAATTACAGCTAGGTACCCACTGTTCTTGAATCCTGCGAAGTGTAGTGACACCAAACTGATCTTTGCTTCAATCACATGAGTTAACGATTCCTTACTTGTATAAGCAAAAAATCTGCAAGGTTCAGGTTCCCTGTGAAAACTGCAGGAAAGTACTCTTGGAACATAGCATTCACACTGACATTTTCAAAAGCTGAATACCTTTTCAAATCGTGAAATAGGTTTCAACTTATCATGGTCATTTTTGCCTGGAACTTCAATAGATACAGCCTAGAAATTCTTGGTGCCTACTTTACATCTGCTTTTACATTAAACAGCTTGAACTATTCTGTGACTTTACAAAATCCCATAGGATGAAATGACATGCAAAAAAAAGAGTAAATACTTCTCTTCCCCAGGAATATACACTTTATACAACAATCATGCATTAACTATATAGTAGCATGAAGTTACAGAATTGAAAACACACCAATTTAAATCCTGTTAGGTGCCAGGAATACAATAGAGCAAACTTACACCTCGAGCGACAAAAAGACAGGAACTTATTTTCAACTTCCCAACAACTTGAGAATCACATATTTTACAACCTGAAAGCCTCGGAGAACATCTTAAATTCTGCAGCTAAAAGACCCGCTCTCCCTGTTTTAGAAATCAATCATGTCAAAATCTTAACTGCTTTTGCCCATTTCCCAAAACCTAATAATTGAAAACATACACTGATTGGTGATAACAGGAAGTGATTTAAAAATTCAAGTGTCACATCGCAAATCTATCAATCCTGACAAGTAACCGCTTAGATTGCCACCCCTCTGTTCAATTTCAAAACTACCATCCTCTTTGTCAACCCAGTCTACAATGACCAAAAACGCGCAAAAGTGGACCTTCATCCAGTCTGACTTTTTAGAAAACACAGGCAGGTGACACACGCCTTCCAATTCGGAAAAAGGCAGAGCTGGAAACCGGATCTCAGCTCCAACAGAAAGGCAGACAAGACAGAGCTGTTCTTAGTTTATCTGCTCTATCTGCGCCCCAACGCCGTCCCCAGCAGGTGGGACTCAGTCGGAGCCCCGAGGGACTTTTCTCCGGGAGGACAGACGCAGCCCAGCGGCCAAGCTGGCCCCCAGCGCACAATCCCGGGACGGACAGACAGGCGGGGCCGGGGCGGGGGGCGGGGGCGCGCGCGGGCGCCTCGCAATGGAACATGCCCTGGAACGCTGGAGGAACCCCTCCCTGCCTTCCCAGATAGAAATCTCCCCCACCCCCAGAGAACTGGCTCCCAGCTCCAAGAGGGAGCCGCTCCTCCCTCAGGCGGAGGTCACACAGCCCATCGCAGGACGTTCCGGCCAAGGCCCTCGAACGCAGGGCACTGGTTTCCAGCCCCGACTCCGAGAGGAAGAAAGTCCTGCCTGAGACACAGAGCCGGGTCATCTCACCCTGGCACACTCGGCGACGCCACCCTGCGCTGACCTGAGGGGCAATGCCTGCAATGTGCACGCGCCTGTATATTAAAAATATACACGTGTATGCATACATGTATTCCTTCAAGTCACATAAAAATTGCTTTAAAAATTAAGAACATTTTACAGCGCCCTACGCCGAGCATGCAAGACCTAGGTCCCTAAGCTGGACACTTGCCGTGATGCTTGCAGTGCAATGTAGCATCTTCAAGGGGGTTTGCTAAAGTGATTTCCGCCGATCCCTCTTCCCCATCGCAGCCGCCCCACCCCCGCCCCGCGCTCCCTCATCGTCCCCCTGCTTTGAAACCCCCCATTAAGAACTGTGTGTGATCAGAGTAAGGATGAGGGAGAAAGGACTTCAGCATAAGGGTGGGGCAAACCGACACAGAAACCGCTTTGTAAAAACGCACAAGGTTCGGAATTTAAAAAACCAGCAGCAACCACACAAAAAAGTGGATCAGTCCATCAAAGTAAAATACACCCCCCCTCCCCCCCGCCAACCCTAGTCTCTCTTGCCACCTATTTTCAGGTAATGGAAAACGATCACGACCGCTTGATGACTTTCTTCCTGTGCTGGGTCAGCCCAATCGTCCAAAAAAAAAAAAAAAAGCGTGACCCAGGCCGACCGCGGCGAACGGAAAAAAGAGAAAGCTGCACTTCCGAACCGCGGAGACGCGGCGCCAGGCAGGGCGACGCTCCCACCGTCTGCGTGCTCGCCACAGTCCACGCCGAGCTGAAGCGGGGGCGTCCTCCACTCGCTACCCTGTCCTCTTTTTTTCCACCCGCGAGGCAGCGACCCGCGCCGCCTCGGTACCCCGGCGCCCCTGCCTCGGGACGGCCTCTCCCGGGACCTGCCTTCCCCGGAGAGAACAGGTTCGAAGTCCGGGCGCTTGCAGCGGCGCCCTGGAAAACACAAAGTGCTTCCCTCCCTCTCCCGCTCTCAGCGCCCAGTTCGCGGCCAGTGCGCCGCCGCGAGCCGGCCGCCACCCCGAGCCCCCCAGCGCGGGCGCGCTGGGTCGTGGGGCCGGGGACAAGGGGCCTGGGCGCTGCGCGCTCCGCCGGCCCCTCTCCTCCGCTCGCGCTGCGGCGCGCAGCTCTCGGCGGTGCAGACTGGGCGTTGTGGAGGCGCGGCGGCGAGGCCGAGGCGGGGGCGGTGGGTGCGAAAGAGGAGGAGGAGAAGGAGGAGGAGGGTCTGGGGCCCGGCCGGGGGGGGCTCGCCGTTGGCCTGCGCCCTCGCCTTTCCGGAGGAGGCAGGGAGCTCTGCGGCGGCCGCGGCAGCAGTAAATGGCGTCATGTGGATCCGAGGCGGAACAGAGCAGTTGTTGTCCCAGAGGATATATCGCATCCGGTCCCAGCTCATTGGCTCCGCGGGGCTACATTCACTCACACTCCAGCGCCCGCCAGCGCTCCGAGCCGCAGGAGGCATTCAAAAGGGCAACCGCGCCGCCCCGCGCGTACCCGGGCCGCTCCTGCCGTCCCGGCCGCCGTCACGCGCGGTGCCCGCGGGGCCGGGCTGGGCACGGCGGGGTCAGTTGATCTAGTTTCAAGGAAACACTGACCTTAAAGTTTTCCCCAGAGGCCAGGAGGACGAACCTTGAGCTCGGCGGATTTAAGGAACTTTCTCCCCGCCACTAGGAGAAGGGAATAAACGTTTCAGACTAATCCCGGACAGGCAGTGTTAGCATTAAAAACCAGTTGCGGGTTTTGAGACTTTCTTCGGAATCCATTGCAAAACAGGCTCTCCCCTTTTCTGTTCCCCCTCGAGGGGGCGACGGGGAGAGAAGCAGGGGGAGGGGAAGGGGAGCGGGAAGTGAGGTGGGAGGGCTATTGGTTTATCCTTTGTCTACTGGATTAACCCGATTATACACCAGGCACCCGGACAAACCGCCACCCCCACCTCTGAGCGGCGTACGAGAGGGGCGGAATGCAGATTCGGGTTTCAAGTACCTTCTGCTCTGGCTGGGATTTGCTTTTGATGGTGTCAATTGTAGCTTTTCGGTTTAATATTAGATGTTGTTCTAACAGAGGGAGTGAGCTACAGATGGAAGATTTCTGAAGATCTTTCTTACCGTTTTGTTTCACGCAATTGCTGATGGAAATGCTACAGTCTAGGCCTTTAAAAAATTTAGTTAACTCAGTCCTACACACGTACACGATTACTAAGGGCCACATCACGGGCTTCTGAAATGGGAGGGGGCTCGCCGTTCCATTGCAGATTTCTTCCTCAACTAGAAGAATCATATTTCATTTCCGACTCTCCTTGTCACGTAGAACATTCCCCAAGAAGATTCTATTGTCCGTTTTGAAGGTGATCTATTTTCCCACTTACAAAAAGAAATGTAAAGATAGAAAATGCATAGATATGCATTGCTCTAATTGCCGATCGTTTACGAAGAAACGTGCAGGGACGTGGGAGCACCAATGGGAAATTAACCCCCCCCCCCCCCCATTCTTAATATTGGATTCTGAATGATTTACAGAATGGTTTTACTTTACAGGGAAGTACGGTCAGAACTCAACTCCCGAATGGCACCTGCGACCTCGCGGTCTTGGGGTTCGAGTTCTTGAAACTGCTAGGAAAACGTGTTGCTAGATTTCCCGGGGTCTGGCTCCAGCCCACCTCGGTTCACAACCGCCCTGGCGCTCGCCGCCCTGTCCCGAGCCCTGGTCTGCGGACGTCCCGGGCACGTTCCCTGCCACGCTGCCCTCTCCCCTGCCTTCTCCATGTTTCTCTAGGGCTCCTCGCCCGGGGTTTGGAACCAGAGGTGGCAGGGGAAGTGGCCTGCGTTATTTCCGGACCCTGGCCTCCCGTCCCCCACCCCCCACCCCTCGGGTTCGGGTGGACCGGGCTACGTCCGCCTGCTCCGCGGCGTCCCCGGGACCATGGGGCCGCCGCCAGCCCCGGCCTCTCCCCCGACGCCCGGGTCCTCAGGTCCTCCGAGCCTCCGAGCGGACGCAGGCGCCGCTGCGGCTCCCGGCCCGTCGGGCCACCAGGGGGCGCCCACTCGCCCGGCGCGGGGCTCGGGTTGCTTTCTTCAACGCGCTTCCACGAGGGCAGCCGGGGTTGCCTTCCAAAAGGTACCTTGGTCCGGCCGGTTCACAAAGAATAAAAAGACGTTTTTCATGTAAGTGCAACAGCAGGTGCCTTTCCCTACCCTCTCCGCGGACACATTCCGTTTGAATGAGAATCAGGGGCCCAGGTGCTGAAGAACCCAGCTTTTCCCGAGGCGGACGGAGTTGGCGGCCAAAGCCAGGGTGTGCAAGGCTGACGGGAGCTCGCCGCCTCAGTCTGGCCAACAAGTCTCTGGCCGAACAGGTGAAAGAAACCTGCTGCTTTTTAGGGGACACTTGTGCCCAGGCCGTGTTTCCAGCACTGCAGGAGCTCTGCGAAAACACGCTGTTCGGGCTCAAAGCATAAAGTGGAATTTAAGTTAGAAGCGTCTGGCTGTTTAGAACACCTTCTGTGTTTACAGCGTCAACAGGGAAGAATCTAGGAATTTATCTTTCATGAACTAGAAGGAATTCTGTGTAATCTAGCTCACCCAACATCCGGTTTGCAAGCTGGGAAAACATTTAACCTATACCTTAAGCGCAATATAAAAATGAGAATCTGTTGGGTTCTTTCTAATTTACTCCTTACTATTGTTTATTATTATTATTCATTGTTGCTACTTTCCGCACGTGGTGTATAAAGCAATATCTTGTGCCTCCAAGATTACTTAGTTGTGATCCCGAAGAGGAATTATGTTTGTGTGTGTGTGTGCGTGCGCCCGTGTGCATGTGCGTGCATGCACGCCTAGTGAAGTGTTTGGTGTAGTTATTATAATGTGTCCTGAAATTGATTTCATGTTATGTGCCAAAATTATAACGGGTTAATTTGGGGAGATACTTTAGAGTTTTGCAAGAGTCTTCACAATGGAGCCCATTTTCAAATGTGTTGTGGAGAGTTGGAGAGAGGGAACCCTAATTTGGGAACAGGTGTTCCTGCTTGACTGATGTTGAAAAATGCCCAATCCTTCGAAACACCTGCTACACCAACACTTACCTCTACGTTCTCTGGAGGCACGAGTAACAGGTGCTCTTAATCGCAGTCATTGAACGGCGGGATCTTATTTCTGCCTTCTTTTAGTTTTCTGTATTCATTTCTTTGGACTTACTTCCTTTGTTAACTATCACTTGCTGACTCAATCGTTTCTGTAGCGTCCAGCTCTTTTCAACCCTATGGGCTGTAGCTTGACAGGCTCCTCTGTTCATGGGGTTCTCCAGACAAGAATATTGGAGTGAGTTGCATTTTCTTCTCCAGGGGATCTTCCTGACGCAGGGATCAAACCCCAGTCTCCTGCATCTCCTGCATTGCAGGTGGATTCTTTACCCCTGAGCCACCTGGAAAGCCCTTTATTAACTCTGCTGCTGCTAAGTCACTTCAGTCGTGTCCGACTCTGTGCGACCCCATGGACTGCAGCCCACCAGGCTCCTCTGTCCATGGGATTTTCCAGGCAAGAGTACTGGGGTGGGGTGCCATTGCCTTCTCCATTATTAACTCTAAGTACCTTCAATTTGTTTTTTCCAATGAGGCAGTAAATAAACAGGTGTGAATTTTGCTTTCTCCAGTCTTCCATAGACAGTGTAGACTCTTATTTACCAGTAGGTCTGTTGGACATGTTAAGTCGGATATTTTCAAGGTTGCTCTTACTCATCTAAGCTTCTGATTTATATCATAGTAACAGGAGAATGTAGTTTTAAACAACTCTAGTTCTAGTTTTTTTGTGAGATTGACTGAACCACTTGGCTTTACTGGTTTAGATCCAGTTTTGATAACCAACTGTATCTTGCAGTGATATGCTGTGTTTTTTGAGAGAACATTGATTGTTTTTTTTAGTCTATAACATAGACTTATCTATGTATTCATATTTAAAGATGGCCCAGTATACACAACAGTGTATACTGCTTCCAAGAGTAAAAATTGAGTATTTCAATTGCCTTAATAAATTTATGCGTGGACTCTTTTGGGAGGGACCTTCCTAAGTTAAAGGCTTTGCAATAATGACCTTTTGATTTGACAACCAGGACTGTAGTCGTTTTACTTTTTGAATTGCTTTGAATCTCCAAATTCTGTATCTGTTACCTCTTGGAGAGAATTGGAAGTTGCTACAATAGAAATTCAAACTAGAACACTCAGTTTTTATCTACATCCCTAGGAAGACTGGGAAGAGCTTATCTCTGTATCTGACCTTCTTTGGTGATGTCCTTTTATCCTTAGCTCGACTGGGGGAAAGATCTAGAGTCATCCTTGGGTAAGAGAAGTGATGGGTTGATCTTAAACTGGAGGCTCTGGTTGGTCTGGTTTTTTTCAGAAATCTTATGGTCAACCTTGAATCTACTTGGCGATTTCTACAGGTTGATCAGTCTTCCTGCCAGCTCTAGAAACTTTATCACTACGATTTATGAAAAGTCAGTTATGGACTGAATTTCTGTAACAAGGCAAAATTTCTCTACTGGCCAACATGATTTTTCTCATTATATTACCATTATATTTATCCCTTGACCTTACAGTCAGGCTTCTTCTTTTGTAAGACTGATGTCTGGAGAGAAAGTCTAATTGGTGAGACCATTGTATTGTTGCTTTCCCTTTCCCCAGATAGTCCCAGGTTTATATGTTTTATTCTGTTTTTAACATTCGGTCCCTTTATTTTGGGGCTTCCCTGGTAGCTCAGCGGTAAAGAATCTGCCTGCAGTGCAGGAGCTGCAGGACACACAGGTTCAATCCCTGGGTCTGGAAGTTCCCCTGGAGGAGGGCATGGCAACCCACTGGAGAATCCCCATGGACAGAGGAGCTACAGTCCATGGGGTCACAAAGAGTCGGACACGACTGAAGTGACTTAGCACACACGCATGCCCTTTATTTTGGAATCTTTTTAACCCAGATGCTAAAGTAAAAACCACAAATTGAAATGAGTATTTGGATATGACTAAGATTTTAGCCTCTGAATAAATAGGAGTTTTGGGTTTTATACTTCCCATTATGTGGACCTGTGATCAAAAGGGCATAGGAAGTTCAGCTTGTTCTCTAAGGAAGATGTCGAACACATTCTATGATAGTCCTTCTTATAATTCAGATGCCATAACATCTAGGCTGCCAGCCAGCCCTGAATTAATCTCAGTTAATAGGTCAGGTCTAAAAATGTTCAATTTGGTAAATGGAAGATGGGTGCATACTGACTCAATTGCTTCTTCCTGTCCTGGTCCTTTGGACAGGAAGTGTTATGAAGTTACAGTGAATTGTGAATCATTTGAGGATATTGTGGGGTTGTATAAAACAGCTTTTCTATACAAACTGTGTGTTGGGTGTGACTATTCAAAAGGCTAATCTGCCCCAAGGATCTGAGGGAGTATATATTGGGACTGCCTTGGATTTAGTGGGGCTGGAACTGAAAATAGATTCTTTACCATCTTATTCTTTCAAAAAACCAAAAACACTCACTTTGAAATTCCTAATCGTTCACACTCAGTAAGTGCTTTCTAATGAATGAATGAAATTAATGAATGTAATTAAGTAAATTTTTTATTAACCTTAATTTTCTCAAATACAGAGTTTTGAGATTTTTTTTTTAATGACTAAATTCGAGTCATTCTGTTAACCTAGAAATTACTATTGTGTTTTGTGTAATTATTAGCAAGTGACTGAAATAAGTCTGTTAAGGCCATGATTTTTAACCCCTGAAATAGTAAATATTATAAAGTTTAAAAATAAATCTTTATGGAAATTTTATGTGCTTGAAAGAAAATCTGTAGGGAACATCTATTCTCTAACTGTATAATAAAGAAAGCCAAAAGACTGATCATGGGGAAGCTAGAGTATAGCTAAAAGAAAACTCATGAGTTTTTTCCTTCAAAAATGCATTTGGCAAAAGTCTAAATATATTAATTAAATAATCTGTAGCTTCAAATTTAGAAGTTAGCACTTTGCTAACTTTCAAGAATGCATTTTTAAAATAGCTTCCAGAAAGCCCCCAAATAGTGGACTATTTTTGCCTTTCAGGTTCTTTGTGAAAATTCCAGCCATTTGGGGCAAATCTCATCAGGATGCCTTGATGCTCAAACTTGGCTTTTCATTTTTCCTGGGATAAAGATGCAAGTCCTTAACCCAACTCCCTGGTCCTACAGTCTGTCCACTTTTCCTTCCCAACCTTTGTCACACCCACCACACCCCTGCTTTCTGCTGCTATGACTATTACTTTTGTATATGCAATTTCCCCTTTCACTTTCTGGCCTTTTGCTGTGTTAACTCCTACTTATCTTTCAAATCTCTCTTGTCTTCTTAGAAAACCTTTTTTCTGACCTTTTGACTTGGTCAGATTTCCCTTCTTCTGATCATCTCTGCTGCAAACATTCATGTAACAATTGAGTGATTGTTTATTAACTGTCTCCTTCGCTATATTGTAAGCTCCATGAGGTCTAGAATCCAGCTGGGTGCTGCCTGCCATTTAATCCCCAGCACTGAAGGGCCTGGCACATATAAATATCTCAAATGTTTTTAAATAAGATGAATGAATGAGTGAGTTGGGTAATTAACCTTAGTTCCCACCTATAAAAGACCTGCTGTTGGGATTGGATGATATAAAGTAGCTACAAAGGCTAGTATATGAGAAATTCTCAATAAGTAGCAGTGATAATTTCAGTTCAATTTGGCTTGGTAGTTTATTTGGTAAAAACAATTGTTTTGCCTCCATATTTTCAAAAGTTTTAAAAATTACGTAAGTGCTCAGTCGCTCAGTTATGTCTGAGTCTTTGCCACCCCATGGACTGTAGCCTGCCAGGCGCCTCTGTCCATAGAATTTTCCAGGCAAGAATATTGGAGTTTGTTGCTATGCCCTTCTCCAGGGCATATTCCTGACCCAGGGATCAGACATGTGTTTCTTGTGTCTCCTGCATTGGCAGGTGGATTCTTTACCATATGCGCCTCCTGGGAAGCCCCCAGTTTGATTTATGCATTTTACTTGTTTGTGTTTATGCAGGAATAAATATAGAGATTTAAAGCATGTTTCAGTGACTGTTATTATCTATACTCAGCTGTTAATGGTATTTCTACAGAAACGTTAACCTTATACTGATTTTTGTTTTCATG